ATCCACCTGCAGGGTTCTGGTTTGGATAACCTCCAGGATTGGCTCTACCGGGATACTGGTTAGGGTTACTACCAGCTCCTGGATAATTTGGTGGGTTTTGTCTGGGGACTCCTCCTGGATTAGTGTTGCCTGCTCCAGGGTAACTTCCCCCAGCAGGGTATGGATTGGGGTTTCGATTGGGACTCTGTGGCTGTCGGGGGTAGCTTCCCGGCTGAGATGGTTTTGACTGTGTCCCACCCCTGTTGTTCCAAGATGAAGAAGAAGAGGTTTTCTTGCCGCTGCTGCTGCCGCCTCTCTTCGCCCATGCTGATTCGGTGTTCAACAGAAACACAATCAGGAGGGACACAAGAGCTATGTCACACAACCTCCCCATCATGGACCTGGAGAGAAAAGTGTGTCACAGTAATGATCATAATAAGAGTCAAGCATATTAAAACAAGCGTTGCCACTCCTTTTCCTGAGAAATGACATATCATATGGCCCAGTGCTACCTTCTCATTTAACAGTGGATTGTTATATAACCAATTATATTACTCTATAGACCAAAGAGCGAGAGATAGTCAATAGTCAATCCAAAAAGACACTCGTAATAACGTTTCAAAGGCATTCACGATGCACCCTCTCACCATTATCCTCACATCATTTGGTTAATCTAAATAGAAATATGCCTAAATAATAATAATAGGCCTGTGCTAGCAATAATGAGTGAACGATGGCCTGTTTTTATTTTAAAACGGTGAGTACCAGTCATTGCATCATAAGCATCCTGCCGACAAAGCGGCACACATAGGCTCTAATAATAGGCTATGTGTGTCGCTTATTTCCCCCGTCGAGCCTACCCACAAATAAATAACATCATCAATAGATTATAAGTGAATTATTTCTTACCGTGAAGAGACGGTCTGTGTGTGTGTGTGTGTGTGTGTGTCTCAGTGGTAATTCGGTGACAATGCGTTGTTGTGCTCTCTCCCTCCCTCAGCACGGTTATGGACTCTGGCTCGGGGTGCGCTCGTTTTCATGCATAGCAAGTAGCCTGTAGGGAATAGAGGTGGGGACAGTTTCCTGTGACGTAGTTGTGATAATCATGATTTAGCCAAAAACCACATCTAAAACCAAAAGGTTATTTCTTCACGTGTTTCATTTCATGAAGCGTATGAATTTATTACCACTTATACACGGGCACTAACTCGAATTAGTTAGCTTTAACTGTCAGCTCCATTTCTGACCTCAGTTCACCTTAAACTGTATTTTACTACAATATAAGCAGCATTTGCTGGTAGGTCAATTAAAAAAATACAAAGACAGATAGTGTGAGTTTTGATGGGTTTATATTTTCTGGAGCCTTTGTTAAATTATAAAATAACCTTATAATTAACAGAAATGCACCGCAGGCTAGACAGTGCCAGGGATGGTACAGTCCAACGCCCTCCGTTATGTCCAGACGTTTAGAACAAGTGCACATCTGAAGCCTGCGCACTTCATCCCAGCTCACTGCAGGAACTGCGGGTCCGTCGGGCTTTTCTTTTTTTTTCCTCCACAGTCTTTATTGTGCACGACTACATTTACAGAATACAAACGAATCATAAACAACAGAAATAAACGCAAAATAAAAGGACAAAAATTTAAAAAAAAAAAAAAAACACCAACAAATAATATATTTTAATGTTATAATGCCAGAGGTTTTGTTATATGCATAATTTCATAGTCATTAAATAGCCTAACTTAAAGCTCTTATTGTTGTTGTTGTTGTTTTGTCCACTTTCTTAATTGTGCACAAATACATTAACAGAATGTAAACAGATACAGAAAATAAAAACTAACATAAAAAAAGGACAAAAACTAAAAACACAGACAAAAATTAATACATTTTAATGTTAGAACGCCAGAGTTTTTGTTATATGCATTATTTTTATAATCATTTAATAACTCAAAGGTACTCTTGTTGCTGTTGTTGTTATTGTTTTGTCCACTTTCTTTATTGTGCACAAATACATTTACAGAACATAAACAGAGACAGAAACAACAAAAATAAACACAAACTATAAGGACAAAAAAAAACATTTATAATACCAGGGTTTTTGTTATGTGCATAATTTTATAATTATTTAATAACTTAAAGGTATTGTTGTTGTTGGTGTGGGTGGTGTTTGTCCACTGTCTTTATTGTGCACAAATACATTTACAGAATATAAACAGATACAAAAACAACAAAAATAAACACAAACCAAAAGGACAAAAATTAAAAACACAAACAAAAAAAATACAAAAATAATACAACGTTGCCAGGGTTTTTATTATATGCATCCTTTTATAATCATTTAATAACTTAAAGGTATTGTTGTTGTTGTTGTTGTTGTTGTTTTGTCCACTTCTTTTATTGTGCACAAATACATTTCCAGAACATAAACAGATATGGAAACAATAAAATAAAAAAACAAAAACTCAAAACACACACACAAAAAATACAAAAATATAATACAAAATTTATAATGCCATGGTTTTTGTTATATGCATCATTTTATAATCATTTAATAACTTATAGGTCTTATTTTGTATTTTTTTGTTTTGTTTGTTTTTTGGTTGTTCTTTTTCTAACATTAAGGAACATGGTGCTGTGTTGATCAAATGTATTAATAAAGTACAGGAAAGTCAGTTTGGTTTCTGACCTTTTTTTTTTTCTTATGAATATGGAATTTTCCAAAAAAATAAATAAAGAGTTGTGTGCTATGCAACATGTTATCATTACACATATCACATACAGTACAGGCCAAAAGTTTGGACACACCTTCTCATTCAATGCGTTTTCTTTATTTTCATGACTATTTACATTGTAGATTCTCACTGAAGGCATCAAAACTATGAATGAACACGTGGAGTTATGTACTTAACAAAAAAAGGTGAAATAACTGAAAACATGTTTTATATTCTAGTTTCTTCAAAATAGCCACCCTTTGCTCTGATTACTGCTTTGCACACTCTTGGCATTCTCTCCATGAGCTTCAAGAGGTAGTCACCTGAAATGGTTTTCCAACAGTCTTGAAGGAGTTCCCAGAGGTGTTTAGCACTTGTTGGCCCCTTTGCCTTCACTCTGCGGTCCAGCTCACCCCAAACCATCTCGATTGGGTTCAGGTCCGGTGACTGTGGAGGCCAGGTCATCTGCCGCAGCACTCCATCACTCTCCTTCTTGGTCAAATAGCCCTTACACAGCCTGGAGGTGTGTTTGGGGTCATTGTCCTGTTGAAAAATAAATGATCGTCCAACTAAACGCAAACCGGATGGGATGGCATGTCGCTGCAGGATGCTGTGGTAGCCATGCTGGTTCAGTGTGCCTTCAATTTTGAATAAATCCCCAACAGTGTCACCAGCAAAACACCCCCACACCATCACACCTCCTCCTCCATGCTTCACAGTGGGAACCAGGCATGTGGAATCCATCCGTTCACCTTTTCTGCGTCTCACAAAGACACGGCGGTTGGAACCAAAGATCTCAAATTTGGACTCATCAGACCAAAGCACAGATTTCCACTGGTCTAATGTCCATTCCTTGTGTTTCTTGGCCCAAACAAATCTCTTCTGCTTGTTGCCTCTCCTTAGCAGTGGTTTCCTAGCAGCTATTTGACCATGAAGGCCTGATTGGCGCAGTCTCCTCTTAACAGTTGTTCTAGAGATGGGTCTGCTGCTAGAACTCTGTGTGGCATTCATCTGGTCTCTGATCTGAGCTGCTGTTAACTTGCGATTTCTGAGGCTGGTGACTCGGATGAACTTATCCTCAGAAGCAGAGGTGACTCTTGGTCTTCCTTTCCTGGGTCGGTCCTCATGTGTGCCAGTTTCGTTGTAGCGCTTGATGGTTTTTGCGACTCCACTTGGGGACACATTTAAAGTTTTTGCAATTTTCCGGACTGACTGACCTTCATTTCTTAAAGTAATGATGGCCACTCGTTTTTCTTTAGTTAGCTGATTGGTTCTTGCCATAATATGAATTTTAACAGTTGTCCAATAGGGCTGTCGGCTGTGTATTAACCTGACTTCTGCACAACACAACTGATGGTCCCAACCCCATTGATAAAGCAAGAAATTCCACTAATTAACCCTGATAAGGCACACCTGTGAAGTGGAAACCATTTCAGGTGACTACCTCTTGAAGCTCATGGAGAGAATGCCAAGAGTGTGCAAAGCAGTAATCAGAGCAAAGGGTGGCTATTTTGAAGAAACTAGAATATAAAACATGTTTTCAGTTATTTCACCTTTTTTGTTAAGTATATAACTCCACATGTGTTCATTCATAGTTTTGATGCCTTCAGTGAGAATCTACAATGTAAATAGTCATGAAAATAAAGAAAACGCATTGAATGAGAAGGTGTGTCCAAACTTTTGGCCTGTACTGTATATTATCACATCAAACGTATTTGTTTCAACATTTATCTTAAGTGTCTTTTTGGAGAGTTGGAGGTACTCTTGTCTTTTTTAGGGAGCTGGCAACATCAATCCAAAATATTTTGGTGTATAACCAGAAAAAAATAAAAATAAATAAATAAATAAATAAATAATAATAATAAATGAGAAATAATCTCTTTTTTCCAGTCCATAGAAATTACACTTATAATCAATATTCAGTATAAGTCTGTCTAACAAAAGCGTTACCAGGTAATTTGTATATCTTGAAAGATCCTTCTTAACGGTTATTTATACAGTATTTATCATACATTGTTTGCTTTCTCCATCTGTTTATCATTAAATAAGGAAGGCTAAAAGCATCTAGAAGAATGGTCAGGAGCAGAACTTAATGTGCTCCTGATATTTTTTTGTCAGAGCACTTCTGTTTCAATATATACGTATATATAAATATTTTCCACCCAGTCTTCAGCATGGATGGAACAGGTGGATGTATGTTCTATGGCTCAGTATCCGCAGCACGAGCGTTCGTCACGCTGCTCTGTCATTGGATGATGTCGGCCTGCCGTGACGTCAATTTAGTAAACCGTCAAACACCCGTATGTACTCGCAGCTCTCTGTCCGGTACACAGTGGAAACATGTCGGGAAGGAGGGAGCCCAGCGGAGGAACTGCGTTCATGAAACCTACACCTGAGACATAAACTGACCGTTAATCAGTCCGGACGGACGGTGGGGTGTTAGCAACCGCCGGGGCCACGTTACTATTTCACGGAAGCGGGCCGGTCACGAGCGAATGGACGGATAAAGACCAACAGCCGGGGCTCAATCAGAAGAAGTAGCCCAGCAGGCAGGCGGCCGGGGCCGGGCAGAGAGAGAAGAAGGGACAGTGTGTGTGTGCTCGAAACAAGACTGGGTTGCTGCTTGCTAGGGGATGTTATCCGTACTGTCTTATGGCAGACTGGTAGCCAGGGCTGTCCTGGGCGGACTCTCTCAGACGGACGGTCGGGACTACAGCCTGATCACCGCCAGTTATGGCTTCGGTAAAGACTTTCGGAAGGGGATCCTGAAGAAAGGGATGTGCTACGGTGATGATGCCTGCTTCATTGCGCGGAACAGGAACGCAGACGTTTTGGGTAAGCTCACAAAAACACTGCATTTAGCTTGCTGGGGTATGTTAGACCCCATCTGTGTTCAGGTGACCTTCAGTTAGCTAGCCTGCACGTGCACCGACCCTCGGATGAAAACACAACAGCCCCCACCCCCTCCAAAAACACAGCCATAACTTTTCTCCCCTCTCCACCGTTATGTCAGCTCCTCTTGGTTTAAATGACGCCTTACAAATCCTCACAGAAGCTCAATGTGGCTACAAGCACGTCATTTTACGTATAAACTGTCATTGTGTGCCGTTAGCGGGTGATTTTAAGGTGGAACACCGAGTGACCTTTCACCCAGATGAGCTCCAACTGCAGAATACACAGCGGCAATGCAATCAATCAAACACACCTAATTAGGAGACATAGATAAGCTTCATTAAAGGTGGAAAGCACTTTAAATGCCCATATAACAGCCTCTCAGACTCAACACTACAATGTCTTGCAAAGGTCAGAATGGTTGAGCATGGAGGCAGCCATGTTGCTAATAGCGTCAGTAGCCTGCTAGCTTAGCCGAGTGTAATTGCTTTGTCCTCACCGCCCAGCTGACAGGAGGTTAAACAGCGAAATACTTCACCAACCACGTGGCTTGGTCGACACGTTTGCTTCGTGTTTTATAGTTTTCAAGCAATGTGCAGTCTGAAATGTTGAACTGGTGATATAAAGTAAAAATAGCCAGTTCTGAGAAACAAAACCCCCAGCAGGGGCTTCACGTGTTTCACATGGCCAGCTGAGATGTGGTGGTAGTTAAATCTGGGGTGAACTTCCCTGAAGTGGACTGGGGTGGCTATCAAGACAGTTTTTTAAGAAATGTATACTATTTTTTAGCTTGAATAACAGTAATGGATGGTGGTCCTTTCTTCCAACATGGCAGAGGGAATTTCCCAGGGTGTATTTTGTTATTTTAGTTTCCTAATCCAGGGAATTTCCACCTGCAGCACAAAAAGAAAATGAAACTACAGCATGGGGATATTACATATGATTAAAAATGATGTTTTCACATACCATAGATTGATGCCAGTAGTTCATTAACAAAGTGATGAACATGGACATGACATGGGGTAACTGAGGGCAAAATACTGTAATAGTATGCCTTGAAGATACATGTTATAGCACTATTATTACAAGCATTTTCTCCTTGTTTTGCAGCTCTTATTTTAAAGAAACCAAAAGTATTTGTTTTGTCAGGTGATGCAAGCTGCAGTTTAATCAAGGTCTGTTTGCTCCTGCCACCGTCTTTATAGCTCTTGATCTTGACAGTATGTACTGAGAAGATATGCAGTCGAGTCATCCAGTATCATCCTGCTGAATCCTGAGTATGCGCTACCCACTTGGATCGACTGCCATCACATTTACTTCTCTCTGATCCAGTCTGGCATTTTGTTAATCCAAAAAAGCATTAACCCTCACAGCAGTTGCAGTGTTTGGTTCGGATGATGATTTTCATGTCGCCTTCTGCAGGCAGAGAAAGTTACTGCTGCTGCAGTTTATTAAATTTAAATGACATATGATGGGTCTGGGGTTTGGTGCTTCACATCAATGCCAGACTGTGTCCTTGTACAATTAATTATTCTTTTCATTATTGATGTATCTTCCATTTATTTTTTAGAAATAAAATGTCAGTAAATTGCTTGTTTTGTCTGAGCTAGATATTCATAACACAAGACGAATGAAAGCAGCGAGTGCCCACATTTTTAAAGCTATGTTTGCCATTTTTCCTTGAGAAATGACTCAGATAATTAATTGATTATCAAAATAGTTGCTGATTGAATTTTCTGCTGTTGGACTCATTGGTAAGTCAGCCCTGTTGTTTCAGCTAGTATGATTAAAGCATTTGTTTGCAGATGGGTGAGCACCAAGAAAACAACTACATTAAAGTTCTGTTCCCCTGTTGTGTATCAGGTGTTGCAGATGGCGTGGGTGGTTGGCGTGACTACGGCGTCGACCCGTCTCAGTTCTCAGCCACGTTAATGAGAACCTGCGAGCGACTGGTAAAGGAGGGACGCTTCACTCCCAGTAACCCAGTGGGTATCCTTACATCTGGCTACTATGAGCTTCTACAGAACAAAGTTCCCCTGCTAGGTGAGTACACACCGATTCAAAATTACATACAGGTTATGCCTTATGGTGCACACACAGTCAGCGATGCAGTGAGTCATGCCTCCCATGAGACCAGCTGTACTCTGAGAAATGCACAACATCTACAGGATGAGTCAGAGTGCTGGCCTTGCTTAGCGAGATGCAGAGAACATGTTACTATAAGTCGTAGCAGAACGGATTTTCATTTCAATTGCATGTTACTTTTTTTTACCAACCTGGCAGAAAGGTGCGTGGAAGGATGGAGGAGTAAATAAGACAGATAATGATTAAAAAGTAATATATATGATAAGGCACAGAACGTCAGGGATTTTAGTTATCATTGATTTAGGTTTAGGTCAGTATCCTGAGTGATGTAATACCTACGAGATAACAAACTGTATTTTGTCATGCGTCCACTTGGAAGTCAAGAGACAGTGACCTTGTGGCACTGAACAGCTTCCCTTGTATGCGGGGTGAACATTTAGCTTCACACCAGAGCCCCATAAGGTCAAGAATCTGTAACTGACACTGCAGGAGGGCTGGACAGTTTTTTACAACCATGCACATGTCCAACAGGTGACCAAGGTCACATTTTTTTCTGAGACGCAGTATCCCTGATTTATAGCCAGCACGTACATTGAGTGTTTCCCTCCTCCCCTCCTTGTCAGGATGTTTGTCAAATGGCCTACTTTTATTTTGGGAAGCTGTGACAAGGTCTGTGCCTGACCTTCCCTGCTCAAGGTTACTCGGACTGTTGGCACCTGAAGTCACTGGGTATCTGGGACAGGCTCAGTCCATGACCTTTGTGTTTGTTTTCTTTGTTTTTCAAATTGCATAATAAGCTCAACCACCCACTGTGGGACCATGAAATTCGTGAGGAAGGTGCACCAAAAGGCGACGATATACTGGTTGAGGTGCATTCTGCCTCTCTAGAAGCACACGAATACATCATGTGCTCCTTTTCTGCCTCTCTGTTCAAACTGAAAAACATATCTTTGCATTTTTTCCACTGACATCAATGTCTTTTTCACCGTGTCTCATCAGATGTCTATATTTATCCATAACCTTGTTGTTGTTTGCTCTCCTCTCTTTGTAGGGAGCAGCACAGCCTGTATCGTGATTCTGGATCGGCGGAGTCACCGGCTACACACATGTAACCTGGGTGACTCAGGCTTCTTGGTGGTTCGGGGAGGAGAGGTGGTTCATCGCTCAGACGAGCAACAGCACTATTTTAACACGCCCTTCCAGCTGTCAATCGCTCCCCCCGGAGCTGAAGGGGTGGTGCTCAGTGACAGGTCAGTTGCAAATTGTGTGAATGCAATTTAAAGAATAGAAATTAGAAAAAAAGATTCATAGTAGAGGCAATACTGCTGGCTTTACAACACACTGCACGGGTTATCTTTAATACAAGGGGAATCATAGAAAGATGAAAGTTAAATTGTCCTTTGTAAACCTAGCTGTGTTGCTGAGCTACTCCCTGTAAGGTGTGCCCACTATTTTGCAAAGCAAATGATTAAAAGTCAGGTTCACTTTCACTTTTGCTTCCAAACAATTGTTCAGATGGCAGAGTCAAGCTGGATTTGTTAACACATGCCACATCCTTTTAATGTGGGCAGCAAACAAATTTGTAATAGGAACTGACAGAGAGTGTTTGCAGAACAAACAAGATCTGCTATGGTGTCTCACTCCTGGCCAAACTAGGCTCAGCCTCCACATAGCCGCCTTAGATACTTAATAATCCTTTATTATTTATCGTTATCGCCTGCAGGGGAAATCTTTTCATATCCTGTTTATAGTTTGTCGTTTTTGTTTACAGTTCAGAGATTTTAGAAGTGAGCACACTGTCCTCTTTATCATCAAAACGTCCAATAAAACTCATCAGTACGAGGCGTGTGATAGTGAACATGCACATTAAGTATCGTCAAGAATGCTGTTCCAAAATGTTCCCTCATAAAGTGATATCTCAAGCACAAGACACACAGTGTACAAGCATGCACACAGGTGTGTCAGGCCACCCAGATAGGTGTCACAACTTGATTCTGACAATGGCAGCCTGATTTACAAGGGATAAATCTTTAGTAATCCATTTAGAGCAGCCTTGAGGTCCTGTTTTTAAAGTGTCTTTCCCCCCTGCTGGTTTAATCCTGCTCTTCAGGTGTGAAATAAAGTTTAAGGTTTAGCTGTTCAATGAGTAAATGTTCCTTTTTAAAGGGAAACTGCGCCTATTTTCAAAATTAATGCAATGGTCTAATGGTGCTATGGTCTAAGACAGTCCAAAAACACAATCTTTCTTCCAAATCCAAAAACTGTAGTGCCAAAATTCATATTTATGATGTCTGGTGTGAAGTCTGGAGCTGCTCCACGACAGTGAATTCCATAATTTCCATTATTACTGATGGCACTGAGAGCTCCCAGGGGAATGTTCTGAGCATATGGGTACATTGTCTCTTTTTGAGCTGAGAACACATAATAGAACAAAGCTCATATAGGTATAAAAAAGAAAATGAACACACAAAATAAGGCTCCCATTCATCATCTTTGCACCAGCAACTTTATACTTGATGACATCACAATTTGGAGACCTGCTTCTCTAGTTTCAGGCTTTGAGCGAGAGAGTAGCTCAGGCTCATTGATTCATTGTATTGATTAATCTTTCCCAGGCCATGGAGATAACATATTGGACATATTAATTTAGGTGGTGTTCCTCTTTAAGTACATGTACTGCTCTGTGATTTGCCACCTTAAAATAAAAACCCTCAAGATGAAGCATGAACATAAGGTGAAAGGCTCTCGATAATTAAACTTGAGTCGTGGGTAAGGCACCAGCGAGCAACAGGACCTCTGCAAGGACACACCGGACAGGCTGCTTCCGAGTCAGCTGTCAGATTAAACACCCACGCTGCGTCCACCGGCAAGATTTGGCAGAGTGACTTCTGACCTGCTTAATTCCATATTGGACACTGTTGACAGCAGCTCAGGCGCCGCCGGCTCCTGTTACACTTGTGACTGATCTTTCCATGCCCGCGTGTGTTTCCTCTAGCCCCGAAGCAGCTGACAGCTCCTCCTTCGACGTGCAGCTCGGTGACATCATCCTGACGGCAACCGACGGCCTCTTTGATAACATGCCAGACTATATGATTCTGCAGGAGCTCAAAAAACTCAAGGTGCCGCTCTCACACATATCAGTCATATCAGTCAGTCATCATATCAGTTTCCTCGAGCTGTCACATAAACTGTATCTGATTGTAAGTGAACACAGATGCAGACATATTTAATTCTTACAAATGCTTTTTTTTATCCTTTTAGACTACCAACTATGACAGCGTCCTGCAGACTGCACAGAGTATTGCAAAGCAAGCTCATGACCTTGCCTACGACCCCAATTACATGTCCCCTTTTGCACAGTTTGCCTGTGACAATGGCCTGAATGTAAGAGGTAAGTACACTGTGCTTCAGATGCTACATTATCCCTTTTTAAAAACACCCTCCTTTTAACAGTACATGTAATTCAAGCATTATTAAAAGCTGTTAAAGCCTGTTAAAAAATAGCTTTTTGCTGAAACTGTCACTCAATTCTGAAAGAAGAACAAGAGACATGATAGTCTGCCAGACAAATCCTGTCCCTCCTCTTCCTACTGCTTCTGATGGCCTTGACTCACCAAAAACAACCAGTGGAGTCTCTAACACAGCTGTCAGTCATGTCAGTCACAGCTCATGAACTGCAGTCAGAGTAGGCAGTGCTGATTAGATATGACTCAAGATTCTGTTACCACATGTCTGTGTTTCACCTCATTTGTTTTCAGAAACAATTTAGTGATCATTTTAACTGTAAAATAAGAAAGTTTGCTCCAGCCAGTGGGCAGTGTTTTGTTTCAGTTCATGGCAGCATATCTAACAGGTAACCAGTACACTAAAATTTGTTCCTGGAAACATTTGAGGTGAGAAAAAGGCAATCTTGATTCATATTTGATAAGCGCTGCCTAGTTTGACAGTTTGCCACAGGTCACGAGCAGTGTTTGCCATGATTGACAGCTGCGTTCAGGACTCCTCTGCTGTGTTTGGTTGTTTTTGTCCACATGCAGTAAGGCCATGAGAAGCGCTACAAAGCAATAGAGTAGGTAGAGGAATATGATTTATTTTTCGCAGATTATCTGTCTCATTTAATTCTGTATCAATACAGTGAAAGTTTCAGCAAGTATGACAAAACTGTATTGTTTTATAAGAGTTACCAAATACAGCTTTAAACCAAAACAGCCTTTTTGCCTTTTTTCCTTAAATAAAGGTTGACACAAAATAGCCATCACTATATCTTGTCAATTTTAACAGCTATTTTTTAAGTTTGATTTGATATTACACATACTTGAAGCGGATATATTAATATAAAATACACTGTAGACCATTTGATTGTAAGCGAGAGAATACGAGTTGTGAATATTTTTGCTGTCCTTAAAAATCGTCTGTTTAAAAATGTAAAACTTAAATACCCATGTTGAGAGTTATTTTCTGGCTGCACTCGCACCTTTAGTTTGGCTCCATTTGCTGGATCAAAGCTAAATAAAAAAGGAAGTGTCAGTGAGTTCAAAATAGCCTTACACTCGAGTGTGGGAAAAAAATTCCAGCCCTACTTTGCATGAACTGGTGATAGGTGTTGGCACGGTTCCTCACACTCTTTTGTCTTCTTCTGCAGGAGGGAAGCCAGATGATATCACGGTGCTGCTGTCCATTGTGGCTGAATACACAGACTAAAAAGTGTGTCTGAGAGTGTGTGTGTGCTTCTCTGGGGCTGACCCTCCCTTCCCGTCTGCATAAGTCTTCCACCTGCAGCCTTCCCAAAAATGCACTGCATCCTGTGGGCTGACAGGGGAGGCTCACCAACCACGACACACACTCCTCGCTGCGGGGCCGACGTCCACCCGTGTACATTTTTTGTTTTCTTCCTCTGTTGTTGTTTTGGTGCTTGAACGGTTGAGGGGAATCAGGCAGCTAGGACATTTTCATGTTGATCATGAGGCAGGAGGAGTTGAGCACGACGGGCTGAGGGATGCTTTTCAGTCGCTTGTGTCTGAATGTGTCGCGTCAACACTTTCTAGGTGTCTGGGAGACAGCCTGGGACAGATCGGCTTAAAAGGGGCTTTAAAACCTGGTAGCCCTTGTGTACAAAAAAGTGATATAATAAGAAGAGTAAGCCAAGCTTGGGATTTTTGGGAGAGTAGTGATAGAGTATTGAACCTGGCTAGCTGTCTCTGTTGCTCCAGTTGTTAATCTGTTCCTTGTTGTTAGTGTGTTTGAACAAAGCAAATGTATGGACTGAGAAAGCGGATGTCAGTAATGGATGGGTGTTATTAGAGAATGAGATTCAAGAATGGGCTTTCAGTTTCTTGGGAATGTGAACGTTGAAAGAGCGAACTGCTCCGATCAAAGAAACCTGTAAAGGGAAACCATAACACTTGTTAGAGCTTACACGTCAAGGCTAATCAGTTTTCGTCACTTGGCAGGGGGGAATCTGTCGGAGCACACATCCCGATAAGTTGTAAATATTTTTGTGTTTTTAGGGCTTCGTTCCGGCCTTTCTGTCGTCTTCGCTTCGGCTGCTGAAGCAAAGAGCTATTTCGTTACTATCGTGGAGGATGTACACATGCATTCATAAATATATTTTCTTGTATAGATGTTAATCTTGAAGTGAGCTTTATCAATCCCACACTTCCAGAGGCTGAAATGAACAAGAAGATCTTTGCTGAGATTGATCGCTGCAACACGTGTGGTAGGGAGGATGTTTTAAAAAAAAAAAAAAAAAGTGTGAGTGTGTGTGGTACACGTGAGTTATTGGGATGTGTGGCATACTTAATGTTAATATTTGTTATCTCACAAAGCTAAAGCTAGCATCTGGGAATGCTTACTATTGCAATGATAGGTCAGGCGTGTGTTTAAAGGAAGAGATGTATTTTTTTAAAGTAGTAAGAGTTTGAAGTGTCTGCCGAAAGGAAATATGTGTCATGGATGACAAAGATCCAGCTATCTTAACGAGAATCAGGTGTGTGTGCGTGTGTGTGTGTGTGTGTAGGTGTGTCAAATTTGTTTTTATGTCTCCGTTCCTTATTTCCCTTTTACATTTGTTTGCTGCTTCTCTTTTGTAATTCAGATGTCTGTATATGACTTGACATGATTTATACGAACATGGTCGCCATGATTGTAACGAGTGTGTGTAAATGTGTGTGTGTTGCATCAAATGACATTAATCAAAGACCTTGATTAGTACTGTTCTGCTCATGATAGTTTGTCCCTTTTTGTCTAGCAGCTCACCCAAGTGGTTCGGACAATGTCTTTTACAGTTTAAAAGCAGGTGCACCAAAGACACATTTTCTTTGTGTATGTCATACACAACGCTTTGTTGTTACAAACATCATACAGCAATACTGTAAATTCCTTGTGCTCTGAGTCTTGTGTGATGGCCAGAGGTGTGGGTCGACACGTTCAGATGGACATTAAAAATGTCTTTTCTATGCCTAAAGTTGTTTTTATCCAAGCAAAAGCTGTATCATATTCTTGGGTTAAGATGTGTGTGCGACTGGTTGTAACAAAGTATAGACAGGTTTATGAAACCAAAGAAGGAAAGCCATATGTAAACACATGATCAGGGCACTGATGTGTGAGCCCTGCTGTAAAGATGACATGTTTCTTCCTCATACACATAATGGACACAGTGATCTGCATATTAACCGTCTGCACTGTTCTTTCTGCATGGTTTCTTTCTCAGCTACTGGCACCATTTTACAAAGTTAAAAATCATTGTTCTTGTCTTTCAGAGTGGTTTATAAAGGTGTATAAAGGTACTGAACTTGTATTTACTTCAGAGATAGCCCTATATTTGACAGAGGGATGTATCCCATATGCAGAAGAAGAAGGGGTGGTGATGTAGGTGATGCTGCTGTGAACTTACAGAATGAGGGTGAGCACAGTTTCAGCCTTAACAAATAGCTAGACCTGTAATCAAGAGGCCTTTCCTGTCATTGCAAGCTTGTGTCGTGTCGGTCACGTTGCCCGGTGTTTGATGTAAGTGAAAGTCCCTCCCCCGTCTTTTCTCTCCTGTAAAGTTGTTTCTCAAAGGTGCTTCTGCAGTCTGTATGGTATGATTGTCCTCCTTTCAGCAAGCGATGTTTGTGTGTATGAAAGATACACCTATGTCTACAGTGTAACAATGCAGGTCTAATTTATGTAAATATGTTTTAAAATATGTACAATATTTAAATAAAGAATCTAGTATTTATACTAAATTCTCCTTGGTCTTTCATTGATGCTGTTCCATGTTTCATCTTCAGAGGCAGATGTGCTGTTCACAAAAGACATATCTGAACATGCAAAGTGATTGACAGCTCTAATAAAGCAGCTTTTGTTACAGAGAGGTTGAGAAAATTTGGATTATTGTATCAGCTGCATCCTGAATATTAGATGATACAATTTCTGTACTGACAGCACACATTTACCACATTGGAGCAGGTTAAATACAAAGGTAGTACAGCAGGGACATCATCCTTTCATAACTGTAAAATGAGCTTTTTCATAATTAAAATTCACTACCAGTTATGTGTATATATGCCCACTGTAAGTGTGAAAATATATAAAAATGAATTTTTAGTGTGGCCAATAGTGGTGTAAAGTAACAAGATGCATTTACTCAAGTACAATTTTGAAGTATTTGTACCCCTATTTAAGTAGGGGTTTTTTGTTTTTTTTTTTGATTGTTTAACTGCTTTAATTGTTTTATTGTTGTTTTGGGGGGTTGGTCGTCATCTGTTTGACTTACTGTATTGCTCACATTTTTTTTTCCTTTTTGTACTTTAACATGTTCGAAATAACACCTTCAAACAAACAAACAAACAAACAAACAAACAGTATTTCCATTTTCTGCTACACTCAGAGGGTAGAAGTACAAAAAGGAAGGAAATTTGTGTTTCATAGATCAATACATCAATAAATCTCACACCGTTGGAAAGACTTTTTATTTCCCTTTTAAATGGTGCTACATTTGTAAGCAACATGCATTTGTGGGATGAGCAGCAGAGCTGAGTATGTGGGTTGCGTCCATGAAAATTTGCCAGTTTTGAGCTTCTGGTACCCCCAGGTGCTGACAATCAGGTGCCAATCAGTTGGTGTCTGCTCCAAGAATTGACATACCACGTTTGACTGATCTGGATAGGGCCCGTGTGATAGGGCAACTTCAAGCTGGTGTTGCGGCATTATTTGGAATGAGCCCTAGCAAGGCCAAGTTCCATATAACAGGGGATGTCAGAGACAGGCCACGAAGTGGGCGTCCCAAGAAGACGACACCCCAAAACACCATATAACTGAGAACTGAGCAAACCACTCAGCTTGTTTACTTTTTAGTAGTTAGTTTACAGTTTTTGATTTTACATACAAAACATGACCAACAAATAAAAGTACACATTTACATTTTGAAATTATACATCAAACCACATAGGGGTATATGAAGCAAAAAGTGGCTCCCCCCTCAAGCATCTACAACATTAATATGCTGCTTACATGTTAATGCATCAATAATCCCATAATACAACAATAACCCTCTCAAACAGGAGTAAAATTTAAATAATAAGTAGATAATTGAAATTATGAATGCAGGACTGCTACTCATTTTTACATGGTGGTATTATTACTGGGGGCCACAGACTGTTACAAAGTCTTGTTGAAGTATCTGGAAGTAATATTATATATTTAAGGGGAACTACATCCATTTTCAGAATTCATACATGTTATTCATACATGTTATTGCTGTGGTCTAAGACAGTACATAGTAAAATTAAACAACTCTCTCCTAAATCCAAAAGGTAGAGTGCTAAAACTAAAATTGTTGATGCCATAAAGTCTGGAGCTGCTCCATCAATGAAGAATTAGACAAAATGTTATAGATGAAACTGAGAGCACCCGCAGAAATGTTTTGAATGTATAGGAACATTTTCTGTTTCAAACCTGAGAACAATACTACTGAATAAAGCTCATTTGAGTATAAAAAATATAACAAAACTTCTGTGGCTCCACAAAATCAGGCTCCCAGCTGTGTCAACGAAGAGGCTCCATATTTAATACCCTATAACATCACAAGTTTGACACTGACTTCTTTGGTATCTGGCTTTGAGAGAGCAGCTCCTGCTCACAAATACTAATTGAACTTTCCTCGACCATGGAAATAACATTTTGGAATCCATAATTTAGGTGGTGTAAATCTTTAAGGGTTAATTTCACTTTTCCTGTTCTTCATATCGTTTACTCATACTAGGTCATCAGTTAAAACAATCTACATGAGTGGAATTAGTCTGAACATGGCACCTGTAAATGTACCTAATTAAACAGTTATTTTTCCAGAGAGGAACTGCTGCTGCATGTGACCTTTAACACATCATAAAATCACAAAATAAAGTGAAGTAAAGTCAAATTACTCTGACATGCACAGCTATAAATCTATTAACATACATAAGTTGATAACAATCATTTAATAACAGACTGTAAAGACTTTGAATGTGTGATTTTGAGCTTTAACGTTAGATGGCAGTGCAGAGTTAAAGGATGCCATGGATGTTTTGTTTACTAATCTTCCAGCTTCTCTTCCTGGTAGCCACCAGCTAACCTACATTCTTGCTGACAGCAGAGATTCCGCTTTAAATAACGCTAGGTGTGTGTCAGCTGACAGCTGTGTGATGCTAGCATGTTAGCTCCGGAGCTAGCAAGCAGACAATACTAATTTTGCATTTACCAAAATAGCTGCATTTGCTCTTTTATAGTTCGACTATTTTTTGTTAGACCTGAACGTTGTTTAACGTTATATGACTAAAGCGAACAGGTCTGTCGACATTAAACAATGTCACGCTAAGTTGTGTTTATAGCACTAGCGAGCTAGCAGCTAGGAAGCTAATCCTCCTAGCAACTGTGGCTAGCCGCGGGCGTCTTCATGGAGAGCTTTAAAGAGTTAGCTGAGCTTCCAAGATTGGTCGGAATGGTAAGTTATGTGAACACAGTGTAGACGGAAGGCTTCCGCTCAGGTAAATGTGGATTAAATGGCAAAAACGGAGCAGGGCAATGGACTGGACATGCGGGGCAGCACAGAGAAGCTGACAGATAATAATGGCAAAGGCGGCTCGTATGGATCAGACCCAGAGATAAATGGCACCGTCCCCGGGGAGAGACAGGTGGACAAGTATGGGTTCACTGGAGGAGCACAGCAGCACTCTGGAGAGACGTAAGTGCTGAAGATGTCCCAAAATATCTGGTTACATTACCTGAATGAAATGTTGGTTAATGTCTTCACAGACTTCCACACAGATAGTCTGTTTCTTCTTGCACTCAGTTGAAGACAGATAAAGGTGACAAATCCTCATGTGACTGCTGAAGTCATCAGATAATTATTGTGAGAATCTGACATTTCTTCATTGCAAAGATACCTGCTGTCATTTGAAAGACTTTTTTTATGTGGAAGATGCAAAACAAAGATTAGATCCAGTCTGGTTAATAACCCTGATTCATAGCTGAAGTTCTTGACATCTGGGCCCTTTTTAAAGCAAAGGTGTGTCCACTTGTGACCCCTTGACCTTGTCACAGGTTATATTAGAAAGAAAACTAAAAAGCACAATATCTGTTATAAAACTTGTTTTTTAACTTGTGAGCCCCCATGTAGGGAACCACTGGCATAGACCACTGCCATTTCATATCATTTAGTCAGTACTCCTCGTTCCTGCCTTCCTTGGTCATTTTACATCTGGCACCAAACAGAGAGAGACTACATTACTCGTGTCCTTGAGGTCTCATTTTATTACACAAAACAAGGCCTGAAAGAGGCGTACACCATTTCCCAATGTAAAGGTTGCGATCAATAAAAACAGAGTTAATGGGATAAACTTTGACCCATGTGTATAAACCTGGCGTTGCACATGGTGAGGTGGAAGCCTGATTGTAGAAGTTGTCGATTATTTTTTTGGCACGCACCATTTTTGACTTTTGTCTGTACATAGGCGACCCCTCTCTCTCATCACTGGTCTTCACTGAAGTATAGAATAGGGCTGCATATTCCCACGCAGTTGCCACACCTCTGACCTTTTAAATTGTCAAATGTCCAGTAGCTCTCTGAGGTCCTCTGACCCGCAGCTGCTGGCTGTTGCTAGTACAAGGTTTGAATGCAAGTGGGATTAAGTGTTTGTTGTTGTGGCCCCTATAATGTATTCTCTGTCACTTGGACCTGCATAATGTCCCAGTTTGTGTTCTGCATCTGTGCCGCTCACACAGCTGATTGTTAAAGGAATACTTCACCCACAAAAATGATATGTTATATCAGCTAGTCATGCCATCTTATTTTGAACTTGTGAACATATTAATTTATTGATTGATTGAGGATTGAGGACCACTTTAACTATGATAAAACTATATGTAATATCTGTTGACAAACTCTCACACAAGTCGTTCAGTGTAATCCAAGTCTCGTTAATGTAGTTGTACGCTTAGTACCTCTCAAACAAATACGCTTTCAATTAAACATCAGTATTGAAAGCTGAACTAAAAGTGAAACTTATCTACGCTCTCTTCAAAGCCAGACTCCAGTATTAAGGTTGTTTAGTGAAAATGCATGCACTTGGGAAAAACTGATCATATGGCTGGATAAATAAGACCTTGATAATACTGCACGAGTTGTGTTAGTGTTTAAAAATGGATGTTTTGCTGTAAACGGCATGACCAACTGATTTATGAATGGTCATGCTGTGAGTGAAGTCCTTTAAACTCTCCTTGAAAAATGTACAGCACTTTTGTAATGACTTAGATACAAGGCACCAGGGATACTGGAAGATCTGAGCAAACCAGGCAGCTTGAGCTCGTCATCTGCCATAAATATCTTAGTGGTTGTGTCCTAATTTGAAGACCTGAAAGTAACCGTTCCAGTCATTGGTCTTTAGTTCTTATGAGTTCAGACAAGTCACTGTGGTATCTTCTAAAGAGTAGTGATTGACAACTTTCTTTAGCTTTTGTATGCAAAAGCATGTTGGTGAGCTCTTTAAATTTGTTTGCCAAAATGAGCAGGCATAACAATATGACAGCTCTGATCTTTGATAGGACTGTAGTGAAGTGAGACACTGGTGTAAGTTGTGTGTAGGAGGTTATAGGGAACTGAACTAGGGGAAAGTTCTCCCACAGCTTCCTGTTTTCCTTGTACTCCGCGGCTGATGGCAAGTGTTCCACTGTTCTGTCTGAGGTTAGGCTTCCTGTGTGGACGAGGTAGAGATGAGCCACTGTCCCGCCCCCTCTGAAGACAGGATTACCCCAGTACAGGGACGTGACGCTGTGCAGTACAGCTGTTGTCCGTCTATATGAAAATAATGTGATTGCTTTTATCAGTGACATTGTCTCCCATTTCCACAGTGCTGAAGAAATACCCCCTGAGGTGCTGAGGCAGCGGGAGGTAAAATGGCTGGAGATGCTCAACAGCTGGGACAAATGGATGGCCAAAAAACACAAGAAGGTCTGCTTAATAAACTGTGAATTAAATCTTGCTCCACTATTTTATTTCTTTGTAATAAAATTGTACACTTTGCAGGAGTTTATCTAGTGTGCACTGGCTGCTCTGGAGCACGAGCATGGTTGTTGTTGCAGTGGTTTTGAAATAGACTAAACAATATAAATTCATGTCGAAAACTGAGGTGGAAGACTTGTAGTCATTCCATCACTATGGCGTTTTATTTTTTTCCTTCATCTTTGAAGATCAGTTGCATGTCATTTCATGTCAGTGTCTGTGTTGCTTTCTTTTGATCTTCCTTTCTCTTGTTTTTAACTGTGCACATGTTGACTAACAGGTGAAAGAGCGCTGTCAGAAGGGGATCCCTCCATCCCTGCGTGGCCGGGCCTGGCTCTACCTCACGGGGGGCAAAGTAAGAAGGGAGCAAAACCAGGGAAAATTCCATGTGAGTTGAATATATGTGATCCCTGCTGTCATCAAGTTATTTAAATGAAAAAAACATGCCTCTTTCATGCTTGGGACAAATCATAGTCACTCAAAGTACTGAGTGTGTCAGCATTATAAAATTGCTATTAACAGTGGATGATGGGAAAAGACTAAGAAAAAACATAAGGTATACTGTTGCAAAAGGTGATAAAGTTACGTTGTGTTTCTAGGAACTGGACAGCCAGCCAGGAGATCCTAAATGGGTAGATATTATAGAGAGGGACCTCCATCGACAGTTCCCCTTCCATGAAATGTTTGCAGCAAGAGGAGGTCATGGGTAAGCACTCCCTTCTGAAGGCCTGTCAAGATGCCTGTTGTTGTGTTTGTGTGGATAATATAGTTTCTGAATATCGTTTATGTTTCTTCAAACATTCAGGCAGCAAGACCTGTTCCGTGTGTTGAAGGCTTATACTCTGCATCGCCCTGAGGAGGGTTACTGTCAGGCTCAGGCTCCCATCGCTGCTGTTCTTCTGATGCACATGCCAGCAGAGGTGAACTGAACACACACTAGCGATTTGTGAATGATACTTTAAGCAAAAAATCACCGTATAATGTCACATTTTACTATAATAAATACCTACCTTTGTTTCCTTTCTTTGTCCCAGGATGCATTCTGGTGTCTTGTTCAGATTTGTGAGAAATACCTTCCTGGTTACTACAGCACAGGGCTGGTAAGGGTCCACACAGACACACTGTCACATGATTTTGTAAAGAGGACTTAAATATCATAAGAAGAGCTTGAGAGTGCAACCTGTAACAGGATTACATATTAACAGTGTTCAGCATGTCAATTATTATCTCTGTGAACCCTATAAATATTGTTTTAAAAAATTATCTTGTTTACTGTAAGCAAAAATGAACTCACAATACTGTAGCAGTGCCCAAGAACACTGGGTTTCTTAAGACTGCATATCTGCTGATTTAACCAGCCAAACAGAAGTCTCAAGTCAGTCAACTTCAGTTTACAGATGTAATATGTGGCTGGTGGTGGTGTTGGATTTCTCAGGCCAGCATGTCCCCAGCTTGACACCGATACGCTAACGACCTAATACCACGAGGTGGTGACCAGGCCACAAGGACGAGATAATCAGACAGAATCAGATTAAGCAAAGAGAAAGGTGTCTGTTCCCTCTCTCCCTCCATTGACTGCTGTTCCATGTTGTCTCTGCAGGAGGCAATCCAGCTGGATGGGGAGATCCTGTACGCTCTCCTGCGGCGTGTGTCTCCTGTGGCCCACCGTCACTTAAAGAAGCACAAGCTGGAGCCCATCCTGTACATGACCGAGTGGTTCATGTGCGCTTTCTCTCGGACTCTGCCATGGGCCTCGGTGCTGCGGGTCTGGGACATGTTTCTTTGTGAGGGTGAGGCACTGCACTATATATGTTACACGGTGCATGAAAAAACACTATCAAAAGTGGTTTTGCCAGACCTGACAAGTCTCATTTATAAAGATTATGTCATGAATTAGGGATGGACGATATGGCCAAAATCTTCTCTGCTTCCACTCTGTGTGGCCCATAGTGACGGCTACTTTTACTTTAGCGCTCCAGTAACATGAATGGGGATAAAATGATTCATGTTATTGGACCAAATATATCAAACTCTGATAGTGAAACAAGCTCAACAATGTATCCACTAATTTGCAGATGTCTCTTTCGCCATATAAGTCTATGGGGAAAAAGTCTCTTTGGGCCGCAGGGCATCACTCGATGGACTTAATTCTACTATTTGGCTGCTACGAAAGTTGGCTTCAAAGCCCAGCACATTGCCCAGGGGCCTGTGCAAGGCAGCTGGATTCACATGATCACATGCAAATCACGAAAAACGTCACAAGTTTGCAAATGACATGACCATGCGATAATCCAGTGCCGTTTTGCCACGTAGCCTGCCCTGAATATCCCCCCCAGTTGAGACAATATCTGTACTGGTCAACACATTTCTACCGTCCAACGGAAAATACCATCATATCAGCCAACCCTGTCATGTATAAATGTATTTAATACTGAGTCTCAATGGCTCGATATTGAAATGGAAAATATTACTTTTAGTTCAAAAACAGCAGCTTTGTCTGACGTGGTAGAATCGAGGATTGTTTAACGGTAAAACTCCAGAGTTATGTACACAGTACAGAAGTACAGCCGTATTTAATTTTCCTCCAGGCCCTGTCATGTGCTTATTATCCTACTGTTTAATTTCATATGTAAAACACCAGAGCATGTTCACTTTTAAAGCAGCTATGCAAATGTTGAATACATAAAGCTTACCTGTTGTTTTAGTTTGGGATAAAGAATATGAGAATATATATGAAGTAGCTCACCACACTGCAAGATTGTCACAACACCATAGTTATCCATCTAAGTATTCACATAATTTAATTGGTTGTTAGTTGTGCTATATTAAAATATAAGTGTTGCTCTAGCTGCATGTTGTCTGATGTAACGCTGTTCTCAGGAGTGAAGATCCTCTTTCGAGTGGGCCTGGTTCTCCTAAAATGCATGTTGGGATCCCAAGAGAAAGTGAAGTCCTGTCAAGGCCTCTATGAAACAATGGAGCTGCTGCGAGCCATACACCCACAGTACATGAGAGAAGGCTTCCTGGTGCACGAGGTACAGTTACACGCCGTCATGGTTGTAGTCTGTGTCATCCATTTTATTGTTGTGGCCCAGCACCTACTGCACAATCTGTCTTTCTCTTTGACTTTGCCCCTCTGCAGTTGTGCTGACAGAGATATAAAAAGACTTATTAACCTTTGATGTGCTGGAACACTTAACCAGAAAATCCAGGCACTACTCACACGTGATTCACACTCATTCTCCGCTTGTGTTTCAGATTATCGAGTTAGTGGTGTCTGAGAAGGACATTGAGAAGGAACACCTCGCTCAGCTGCGGCACTGGAAGGAGACTCGCGGAGATCTACGCTGCAAGTCCCCTCCCAGGATGCACGGCGCTAAGGCCATCATGGCCGCCGAGCCGCCCAGTCGACAGGACCTGAAACAAATGCCCACCATCATTGTGGAGTCTCCCCTGGCACCCAAGACAGACCGGGAGAGAGTAGAGGATGCCAAGGACAGTGGAAAGGAGGAAAAACAGAAGAAAACACTCCTACCGCCACAGCAGACTGTAAATCCTGCCTTTCCTCCCACTGACCCCTCACCTCTTGTCGAAGGCAAGAATGGAAAAGGGTCCAAAGAGAGTCTGAGCAGCGCAGAGCATGACACCTACCTGTAGCAGACTAAGTGTCACCAGCTTACTAACATAAATCATTCCATACAGCCTCGACTAACTCACTAACATTCTCACATATCACAGTTGTCAGTGACATGACAAACTTTTCCATGACTTTGTGTGTCCATAGGAGTCGTAACTGTGACAGGTTTTAGTAAAATTACAATCAAGAAATAAGTAATCAAAGCTGGCCTGAGCAGAATGCCTCTGCTCAGATCATGAAGCAGTCACTGTGATACTCAACACATTTTCAGTGTAATTTCATTTATATAGGTTGCTATGTACTCTACTTTAAACTAAGTGCAGTTATGGACATTTAGGATAAAAGTATGTGGAGCTCAGAGGTGTGTAATTGCCAGTGAGCAACAACAGATGGAGACTATGTGCCCTTTGCGCACACTTCTATGAGGTTTTTGGCGCTATTAGCTTCATATGACTGAACATGTGGGGATATACACTCGCTAACTCACTGTTAAAGGTATACTATGCAGGATTGTCGTGCTACACCACAGAGAAATACAAAAACGTACTAATGAACCTTCATTAATATAGGCCTATAATTTATCTACAAGTGCACGTCACACACTGAGCGAGCCGCTTGTTAATGACGTTGTTGGCAAAGCAGTAATGATTGTGCTAAGTGGCTAATGGGCATGTAGCTACTTCCATGTTTCAGATGATACGTCATGTTTGTAGTCGACCAATGAAGATGAGTTTACATATCACCTTGGGTTCGTCCTTCACCTTCTCAAAATGATCACACACTTTGGATTTCCTGCCTGACATGTTATTAACTAGCCTGTGGAATCATTTTTTAGAAAAATCCTGCACAGTATATCTTTACCAGCTACTGCTGTTATTTACCTCTTAGATTTTAAATGTACCTCTTGGATTTTTTCCTTTGTTGTAAATGAAGTCTGATTTTGTCTTAATTGATAAGATCTTCTCAAGAGCACTTTGCCTTTGTAGTCTTCCTCTTCTCCTACGTTAGTCACTACGTTGCCAACGCAGAGATTTGTATCTACCCTGCTTCGCTAGACTCGCACTGTTTAGCAGACACACAGCTGATCGGTGTGTCTGATAAGCACAGTTGTTTTGACTGTTATGCTGCATCCAGTTTGTCTTTGCTCTTGTTGAACACTTGAGGGCGTCCAGAGATTATCTCACAGCCTCAGCGGTGACCAGCACTAATCTTTGTGTGAGCAGAAACTGACACAATGAAGGAAGAGGTGTGCAGGGATATTTTTGTGCCACTAAGCCAAAGTTTTGTAATGCATATTTTTTAAGATAGATGTTGTCCAAGCAGTTTATTCAATCATACTGTGATACAGTATTTGGGAGAGGATTGGGTTTATATTTATGTCGTGAATGAGATATGGTAAAAATGCCATTTTGAAGAACGCTAATATAAAGCTGTGTTTTTTGTAATCATGCCTAAAGGTTTGTGGATCCTGAGACTTAAAGATATCTGATGTTAATGTAAAAGAAACGGCATTAGGAGATTCTTTCTCTGAAATCCCCATACCAAACACTTAATGTGATATTTGTTGACAAAACTGCTTTGGATAAGTGAAAAAGAACATTTCTTTTCTTGTGGCATTATTTATCTAAAATGAATGGAAACACTGTGTCTTGATATCTGAAATTTATGACTACATGATTTTCACTTCACTTTTAATGAGATGGCGACTAAACTCTAAAAATATTTGAGCATTGAAAGATATTAAAAGTCCAAGGAGCCATGAACCTCTGATAATGACCAAACAGTATGTGAATACATATTATCTGAGATGTTTAAATGAAGAAATTGTTTGGGGAAAAAAAGCAATCAGATTATCAGACTTTTTGCTGTCAGAGTTTTTATAATGAAAAACTAATGTAGGCATATGTTCATTTTCCACACTGTGGAGATTTTTATATACTACGGGTTTATTTTGTGTCTGTTAGGAAGCACTGTTTACCTGCCATGTTGTATGAAGCTTTTACTATTCAGATTTTAAAAGTGTTGTTTGACTCTGTAGCAAGAGCTCAGCTCACACATGACCAACATGCAGAGTTTCTGCTGGGAGCTTTCTCTACTGTCATGTAGATGGAGCCATTGAGCTTCACCCAGGGATTCAAATGACTGGTTACACAGTCGTCCTGAAGGAAACAGGATAAACAGGATGTGGTTTGGCATCTAAAAACTTTATGTTGATTTATTAAAAAGACTTTAAATATCCGTCAAAAAATATACATTCAGGATGTTGAGACGCTCCTGATTTCTAACCATTGCAGCTGTTAAGATTAAAGAGATCATTGTTTAAGCCTGGGGCTTGTAAATGTGCAACTCAGGCTTAGTCCACACAGACACAGGTATTTTTGTAAATGTATTTTTTTTAATGCATTTTAGCCTTTCGTCCACATACAAACTGTGTTATGTCACTAAAAACGAACCCAGTGTAAAACTACGTCCAGGTTTTCAGTGTTGATGTGTGCGCCATTATCTCCTTTGATAAGGTGGCATTTTGAGCAGTGGTGGATGTGACCAAACCAGGGCTGGACATTAACTTTTTTGTCCACCTGCCACCATGGCTGGTGATTTCAAAAGCTCATCAGCCACTCTGTAGATAACCATTGTTCTTTTGGCTGGTATATGAAGAAAATAGAGCAGCCACTTGAGTATTTTACCAGCATTGGGCGGGTGGCTGGTGCCAATTTTCAACCCTGGACCACACTATTGTGGCTCTAACCTCGCTAGCATGACTTTATACATGTTAACACATAAATGTACAATTACTCTTCCACTATGTTGAGGAACAGAGGCGTCAGAATGTACTACAGAGGTCAAGGTAGCCAATGTCGTTGTCTTCTTTGCGTGGTTTAAGGGTTACAGTTATATCATTGCATGTTAGTTAGGCATGCTCTTGACAGCACTGCAGTTGTGTTTGCATTTTCATTTGGACAGATTTTTCAAGACAGTGTTTGTGGACAGGAATGTTTCTTTTGAGAACGAAGGTGGAAAAAAAAACAGTTTACAAAAATACAGTGTCTGTGGACTTTGCCTCATCCTGCTGTTTTTATCAGTATATAGGACTTCATTTCTGATCTGTTTGCTCATTTGATTTGAAATCAACTCCTCATATCTATAAGCTGTTTTATACCAAATCACATTTAAATCAATAAAATTTTAAACTCCTGGCTTTTGCAGATCTGTGACGTTTTTTTCCGTTTTATTCCGACATCAATTTTCCCTTCTTTTCCCCTGCATTTAATATGAAACAACAGAAAATGAGACAAGAGAAGAAGTGCCACACAGACTGGACTGAACAAGCAGGATTTCAATACACCCTGTGTTATCATTCAGCACCCTCACACCCCCCCGCCCACCCTCTCTCCCTCACCCACGCAGCAGCACACTTCCTTGGACACCTGTTTCTCCGGCTCTTTCAGCTCTTTGAGGAATTTGCATCTCAAATAAGGCGAATTCCCACAGCACCGTCCAGAGCGCCTCACCCAGCCATTTGCCTTTGGTCTCTGAATGGCGTCTTCTGCATGCATACAGGCCTTCTTCTTCTTCTTCTGCTTCTTCTTCCTCGACAAGGTTCAGCTGCAGTCCAAGAACATGACAGCCAAGAACGCTGTCCTCTACATTTTAATTTACCCAAACAGTGAAACCCCAAAGCTGTCAATTTATTTACGTACGAGATAATTACAATACTATTGTCAGTAGAGTTTTAATGGCCTTTCTATCATGTCTACATGCCCATACAAGTAGTTGTGTCATTTGAGAATACACTTGTTGGCAGCACCCAACAATTAGAGGAGATGATTAAGTTTTTTCTTGAGTCTCCCTCAAAGCCGTCGCAGCGGCTTTTTCTATTTCAATGAAGCATTTTGTGTGTCACTGCTCTGATGCCTCTCATTAGCGCATTTTTGCATTTCTGGCTCCTCTCATCATCTCTTTTGTGCCTTTCGCTATCTGTAAACAATAACAGCTTCTCACCCCAACTCCACCCTTCACCTCAATCCAACCCCACCGGACCCCACCAACCCCCCACCTGTCTGCCTCTCCCCTGTGATGGTGCTCAGGCGTTCACTAGACCTGAGCTTAGACCAGAGAGGGTGTAATGGGAGACTGGCTTTATGGCTCGCCTGCAGAGGAGGAGGAGATGTGACCCAGACGTGCCCCCGTAACCGCACTCTCAGGAGAGGCAGTATTTGTAGCTTTTGTGGTACAACTGCGAGTCGCTGGAGCAAGAACATCATGATATACTCTATCACAATGGACCTTTAAAGAGTTATATAAGTATATGTAGGAAATTGGTGTTCTCATCCTTTAGTGTATATTCCCCTTTTCTCCAGTAGCCATCTCTCCCACTCTATGTTGCTGCTGAAGCCACGTTCAGACTGAAAATAGGTCTGTGTTAAAAAAAAACGGGGCTATGTTGGTGTGGACGTGTTGCTACAAGTACTGGTGAGAGGATGAAATATGATCTAGGTTGTCCAGTTCACGTGATACACTTCATCCATGAACTTAAAGACTCATCAGACGCAGTTTATTACACAGTGAGACAGGATTTTGGAAACTTTGGAAAGTCGTCGTGGCTACAATCATTTTATCCTCCATCTTGATGACTGCAAGATCTACCAGGAAAGAACTCTTGCACATGCAGTCTGTTGGATTGTACTGGCGTCAGATGACGGTGCGTTGTGTTGCAGTAAGGTTGACCAAGCTTCAGAGCGGCCTCGTGGCTTCACCAACCATAAACCGCAGTGTGCCCGATTTGAATCTGACCTTTATTGCATCTTTCTCACCCTCTTTTTCTGTCATCTCTTTACTGTCACTATCTAAAGCCACTTTTCCACTGGACAAAAAAACAGCAACACCCATTAACAAGTGGTCTTTAGTAGGAAAGTTTATAATCGGCATTCATTCCCAGGACAAGTGACTGTGCAGTAGTCATGGATATTTATCAGCTCCAGCTCTGACTGGCTCCGATCAGCAGTGATAGAAATATAACACCCTGCGCGAGTTTCTTTATCGTATGACGGTGAAGGCATGAGTCTGCCTTACTCAGCCTCTGATTGGCTTACCCTTATATTCTTACCCTAACCCTAACCAATCCCAGTAATGTTACGCTGCCACAAATACCGTCCATCTCTGCCCAAGCAGCGCTCCAACATTGCTCCAAATTAGTCGGTGCCAAGTTTTAAGAGACACTGAATAAGTAACAGATCTATTAAAAAAAAGCAGTAACCACAGCAACAATGTCACTGGCCTCCATGCTGCTTTCTACTGTTTAGTAACCTGTTTTCTGGCACATCGAGCATGACACACCAGTAAAAAAACAGGAAGGCACACTCATCTGCTGCAGAGCCGTGTACATGGCTCCAGTCTGCTGGCAATGGGAAAGGAGTCTGCCTATTTTTAGCAGGTTTTTCTGCATTTAAAAAACGTATAATAAAGACATGGCATACCCAAAAAATATATTTTAAAAAACACAAATGGATCCAGGCTGATGTTCTTTTCCAAATGACGCTGCTACAACCCTGTGTTTTTTCTAGCAGGATCTCAGATGCCCCATCTCAGTGGTCTCATTGCAGTGACA